CGCTCCACGGTAAATGGCAGGGCCTTCAGCCTTGCCGGCAGAGCCATGCTGCTTCAGAGCTTGATTTCTAGGGGTATCTAGGGGCTGCCGGGCTGCTCTTGCCCTCTGGCTACGTCCTGTTTTCTTTGCATTTGCCAACAGCGTGAGTAATGCCAGCGGCTGACAGGGCAGCTGGCACTGAGCATGCTACGCTGGCTTTTCATATCTAATTACCCCCTTACACTAGGCTGTCTAGCTGTTAAATTACCTATCTGTCATGAAGATATCCAAGTATAGTCACTCACGGTCTTTGTGCTATCCCTGGTTCTTCCTTTGTGGGGCAAAAACTCTGCCTAGGATGAATAGATATCTATGTTTCAGAGGTTTGAATTTCTTTTTTTCCTCGTACTTATTTATGTTGGTGATGGCTGGGCACACAGAGCTGGGTGCTGAGGTTGTGAGTGCTATTCCTGCAGTGCTGCAAAGGTGTATTTGTCTTTGGGAGGGAGAAAAAGATAAAGGTTTTACAGTGTGCCCCAAGGATGCTTTGGATCTTGGGTTTTTTTAATCTCTCCTGGAAAATCATGCTGCAGCTGGAAACTCTCTGCTAAAGATCCTTTTATATCTAAAAAAAAGGTGTGATTATACAGTACCATGACATGCAGATCTGCAAATACTAATCTAATTGAAAATGTAACTGCAGAATATTTGTCTAGTTCAAGATACCAAGACAGACATCATGCTAGCCCTCTTTCTAGTCTATATAATAGCATTTAGCTGGTGCGGTATCTCCTGTACCTGGGCATTGCTTGTGCCCCGGAGACTCTTTGGGCTTTGCTGTGCGTGATCCTTACTCTCTTTCCCCTGCCAGGTCCATGGGAAATGCATGTGCAAGCACAACACAGCAGGGTCCCACTGCCAGCACTGTGCCCCGCTCTACAACGACCAACCTTGGCAGGCTGCCGACGGCAAAACTGGAGCCCCCAAAGAGTGTCAGTGTAAGTAACCAGCTGGGAACAGCCTCTTCAGAGCCTCTGCCCGAGCAAAATACTTCCTCCTTGCGCACCTTTCTCCTGTGGTTCCAAGAGGCAGCAGATACTGGGGCGATGGGCAGGTGTTTGCTCCACAAGCGTAGAGCCAATGCCACACTCCTGCCCAGTGCCCACCGCATGTTTGTATGGTAGGGACGGCCCTGTTCGCAAAGCTCCTCGCTTGGAAATCCTCATGAGACCGTGTTGTCTGTCGGTGTGGCCTTTCTGTGGGACTCAAGCGCATCTCCTTGAGACATGTCTTCTGTCACAGGCAAACTGCAGCCCGCCAGGCTGCATTGGAGGTGATGGGGGCCCAGCATTGTCCCCTCCATGGGCGCACGTTTTGACAAACACGTTTGCGGGAGGTATAGCCTTCTGCTGCTGGACGTGGGCTCTGCTCAACCCCCCTGGGCACTGGGGGCGGGGGGAGCTGTAGGCTCCAGGAGGTTTGAGGATTACTTCTGCGGTGCTGGGGAGGGATGCTCGGGGTGAGTGCAGGCTGCAGGGGACCGCAGAGGTCACGACGTGATCTGCTTCAGTAACAGCAGCAGTCTAGCCAGAAGGGCGCTGAGGGAAGGTTTGCAGGCGTGCTAAGCACCGTCCTGCTGTGAATACCGTGCTATCAACACTTAAGCTAACATCAGCCTGCCAGTGTGGGCTGCGGTCACACCTGGCTGCCGTATGGATGTTCCCCAAGGGAGTCACAGTGAGCCCCTATTTCCACCAGCTGTATTTGATGTGCAGGAGTTGGAACAGATCTCACTTGGCCCCTGACTCCAGGCGTGTGGGCATCCAGACTTCCTCCACTGCCAGCGCAGGGAAAGGGGGTTGTTCGCCCTCTCTCACACGTCTCCCCTTCACCTGCCTTTTCCCTCCGTTACCTGCAAGGAGCATCCTGACAGCACCCGCGTGGCAGATGCTGTACAGGGCACTGCTGATTTCTAAAGCAGGGAGGGAAGGATTCAGCCCCAGCAGGAACAATGAATGTGGGAGGTCTCCCTGCGCCAGCCTGACCACGTTGCTGTCCTTGTACTGGGAAAGCCATACTGGAAATAAAAGAGTTAAAGAAATTATTTTTTCTTAAATGCCACCTCTAGAAGTTGCAAAGCGTGGATGAAAATGTGATGATACTTCATGCATTTGAATGAATAACGGGTTCATAGGTCAGGTCTCCCATTCCAAAATGTGGTTTGGGTTTTTGTGTCTCTTTTCTATAAATCAACATCTTTCACTGCCTTAATGAGTCTTTCTGTTCCCTTTGGCTTTGTCTCAGCATGCAAGTGTAATGGGCATGCCGACACTTGTCATTTTGACATGGATGCGTGGCTGGCATCGGGCAATCGCAGCGGTGGCGTCTGTGACAACTGTCAGCACAACACGGAAGGGCAGCACTGCCAGCGCTGCAAGCCGGGCTTCTACCGGGACCTCAGGAAGCCCTTCTCTGCCCCGGACGCCTGCAAACGTAAGTCAGCCACCTTTTACTAGTAAAATGTTTCTGTTAAGTGGGAGGGCATCAAAGGAAAGGTGAGATATCTTCCTGCTACTCCTTGGAGCAATCTTCTTGCTTCAGTGATGGACTGAAGTTCTTTGAATTCCCTTATTGATGCTGTTTGCAAAAAGCAATGGCGCAGTTTGCAGGGCGAAAGCTTGTGGATGCTGTTGACAAATCTATCCTGAGGATCCCTGTAGCTCGGGGGCTGGGGAAGAGAGATGATTCATTGACTTTCTCCTGCTATTTTTGGAGAGCAAAAGCTGCATCGTGTTTACATGTTCTCCTTGTTTGGTGATTCCCACAACCCCAGAAGCGGGGTGCCTCAGCCAACAGGGGTGCAGCTGATAAATAGCATCGCCCACCAGCACATGTTCGCAGCAGCAGCAGGTGGGTATGGAGGGAGATACGGGAACACGAGTTAAGTGATATTCCAGAAGGCGTGACACCAAGGAGCCAGGCCAAAGGCAATGAGTTGGCCACATGTGGAATTAAATATTTCCCAAGCAAAAGCAGTGATCCAAAACCACACTCCCCAGGGACCACTGTGAGGATGGTGACTCACCGTGGGGGACTCCGGATCCCCAAACCGCGCTGAGCACATTACACTGGTCAGCGAAATATAGGGTGCAGCCACGCTCTCTGCTCTGTGCCTACAGCCACCCGCAGGCTTCACCAGATCTCTCCTCGCTGACCCAAACCTGCAGGAGGACCTTCGTGGGTGGCAAAAAAAAATCCAATTGACACCCTGCTTGTTTCATTTGAGGGGACACTGAGCGCATCTCTCTCCTCCAAAGGAGAAGTACCTACATTTAAAGGAAGAGAAAGCCTTCTGGGGTGGGGAGCTGCACCCTGGGCTGGGAGGGTGTGTGCAGTTTCACTTTCGTCTGCGGGGTCGGGTAGGGAACAACTGCTTTCGTCCCGCTCCTCGCTGTGCATCATCCTCATGAGACTCGGGGCGGCCCCACCAGCCTGTCACAGAAGTCCTCCTCCTCTCCACCTTTCACT